TATATTGTATATATATCCAATATATATGCTAAGGTCCCGCTACTGACATGATAGCAGTCATTTAGTGCGCATATGTGTAATTAAACCCATGATATCAAAATCTCACTCCAGCCAGGTACCCAAAGTTGGCAACCCTGAATATTAGACTTTAAGTACTTTGTCAGGCTTAATATTTATCTGTAGATTTACCAAAGCTTTTTGCTTACATGTATTTAAAAGACCTTAACTTAAAGTATTATTTAATGTTTTAATAAAGCCTGATTAGTTTGCCTGATTTGCACATCCTCCTATTAATATCTGTGTACATCCGGCACTAAACTTTTATTGTAGAGATCACTTACAGTAGCCTATCTTGTTGATATTTTCTATTCTATATTTCTATCATTGACCTTCTACTTTCCCCCTATTTGTATGTACTCTTAATATTTAAATGTTTTCATCAAATGTAACCCATTCAACAAAACGTGCAGCAGAGATTAGCAACACAACCTTACCGGCATTGCAATGACTGTAAACGTGTAATAACGTGCTTTAACCACTAGGTGAATAATACAGACGTATAAATTACACATGGTATACAATGCTATCAAAAACACATTATGTTAATTTACATATCTAACTACCATTATCAAGCTAAATATGGACTATATGAGGCTAAGGCATTGTACCAGGTGCAGGCTAATTCTGTAGGCTAAGTCAAAAACAGGCAACTGATGAGGTGTTTGAAAGGTCATTTATGCGGATCAAACAAATGAGGTACACAGAATACAATGCCATTTTATCTGTTTCATTATTAGTGTAAGACAGATATGTATATATAACACCTGAAGATGTTTTATTCATGTTAGTCATTACTTTTAATACTAGTTGAACATTACATTTTTACATTTGTATGTTTAAAAAAATATATGTAAAATATATGTTTCTAGTTGTTTTATTATTGTACTCCCATTGTGTTATTTAATATTGTAGTTATTGCTTGTACAGCACTTTGGTCAACTGAAGGTTGTTTTAAATGTGATATATACAGGATATAGCTATATTATTGCACATATTTTAAAACATCAGACAAAAAGGTGTATCCGCCCCCTCATGGTGCTAATCAGTACGTGTGTTTGCTAAACAGAGATACAAACAGAACATGAGTGAACAGTCAAAACTATTTGTATCAACTTTATTGTTATGGGACCTTGTTTACATAGTGTTTCAGAGTAGACATGTAATAACATCTGAATAAAATGAAATGATAGAAAATGCCTTCAACAGCATATCAACAACCGGAAGAATAACTTACTGGACATACATATTAAGACATTAAGAAATGTGTCATTTTTTTTTTCCGGAGGACCGCAGCTGACGAGAGGGGGTGTAGGGCTGAAGGAGGTCAGAGACGTATGCAGGGGCTAGGGAGTGGAGAGATGTGTAGGTTAGCAGGAGGAGTTTGTACTGGATGCGTGACTTGACCGGGAGCCAGTGAAGGTGGAGGAGGGTGGGGGTGATGTGTTGCCAGGGCTTAGTGCGGGTGAGGAGCCTGGCTGCAGGGTTCTGGACGTACTGGAGCCTGTCCAGGGCTTAGTGCGGGTGAGGAGCCTGGCTGCAGGGTTCTGGACGTACTGGAGCCTGTCCAGGGCTTTGCTGGTGACCCCGAACAGAACTCCATTGCAGTAGTCCAGGCGTGAGGAGATGAAGGTATGTATTAATGTTTCTGCAACGGGGTCGGGGAGAGAGGGCCGGAGTCTGGAGATGTTTCGAAGGTGAAAAAAAGCAGTTTTGACAGTAGACCTGATGTGGGAGTTGAAGGTGAGGCTGGAGTCCAGAGTGACGCCCAGGCTGGATGGAGCAGCCATCGACGGTGAGGAGCAGATCTCCAACCTCCCGGAGCAGTGTTTTTGGGGCCACAACCATGAGCTCTGTTTTGTTTTTGTTGAGTTTCAGTAGGTTTGTTGACATCCAGGTTTGGATGTTGCAGAGGCAGTTGACTAGTGACAGCTGGGATGATGGATTGGTACTGATGTAGAGTTGGGTGTCGTCGGCATAGGAGTGGAAGTTGAGACCATGTTGGCGGAGTATTTCACAGAGGGGAGCATGTAGATGTTAAATAGAAGGTAGTCTGGAGGGGGCTTCACCGTGTGTCATCAGAGCTGTCAGAGTCGCAGTCAGAAGACTCATCTGAAAGACTTTGCAAGAAGCTGATGGTCTCTGCTCCAGTCAAAAGCTGCAGATAGCATCGTCTAGCATGAGTCTTCATTTCTCCGATGTCGTGCTGCTTTTTCCTAAACATGCTCTGGAGACCTTTCATCCCGTCTTCGCTCAGGCCCAATGGTGAATCTTAAATGTATAAGATAAAGACAATATGAGTTACTTCATCACCTATCACTGATGTGTAAAGTCATGCAAAGTAAAAATGTAATATATACTGTACTTTGCAGGCAGGACATCTCTTTCAGGGAATCACTGCGGGTTGAAAGGACCTTCCAGTGTTGGTTCATTTCTGTGACGAGAATCTTCTTCTCCTCCTGTAGTCTCTTCACTGCCATGACAAGGTCGAATGCTCTTCTCTTTGTCCTGAGGTCGAAAGAGTCTGCAAAGCATTTATGAGAAAACATGAATGAATGTGTATGAAAGATCAACATTCAAAGAATCTATGAAGTCTTAAATAGATTTATATATCAGACATGAAGGTTTTCCACATTTGCTGTGAGCATTCAGCAGACTGGTGTACTTCCCACTGTTTGGTAGCTGCCATGGCCAAGCTTTCTCCACAGACAGAATGGCTTCGAGGCACAGCGCTTCTGTGCTTGGAACCATTGAGTTGTATTTCTCAGCTGTGGCTGTCAGGACCCCTTTCTCATCCCTGATCTTGCGGCGGATCCGGGAACGACCTTTGTTGCTGTCTGTGTCTTTGTAGAGATGCTGCGAACGTCTCTTGACACTTACTGTCAGCATTTCGATCTTGCTGGCCAAGGCAGCAGCATCCCTTGGGTTGTTTCTTGTTGCTTTTTAGAGGAAATAGGTGTATTAAGCAGTAATTCACAATAACAGTGACATTTGATCAAATGTTTTAATATTATTTTATTACATATGCTTCATGAAAAATAAGTAATGCAAATGTCAATAGAGGGTTATCACTAATTCTGAAGATTTAAAATAAATTGATAAATCATGACTACAAAAAAGTTGAAAAACGTCATTAAGATTGTCCTCACTTTCTGCCCACTCATTCACAACTTACCCAGTCTTCCAGCTGCTTTTCAGTCACTGCCCACTCATTCACATCTCTGACCCAGTCTTCCAGCTGCTTTTCACTCACTGCCCACTCATTCACATCTCTGACCCAGTCTTCCAGCTGCTTTTCAGTCACTGCCAACTCAGCCTTCATGGACTCCAGGTTCTGCAATTGCTTTTCCAGAGCTTTTGTGGTCTACAAACGTCAAACAATTAAAGACAAGTAAATACAGAAATCTACATTTAGGCTGCAGCCACAAATAATTCTTCTAAAACTATGTTATTACCTTCAGATATCTGCGGGACAGTGAGGTGGCCAAGTTGCTGACTTGTTGCTGATTCCAGCGCATGGCCATCAGCGTCAGCATGTCTGTACGTCCTGCAAAAGAGAATATCACATTATTACTATTCCTCTTACTTCTTATACTGTAACTGGGGTTTATACTATATTGCCATCCTAAATGGTGTGCTATGGTCATAACCGTCAATGAGCTTTTATGAGTTTCTGTTGTTGGTGTAATTTGTTAGTGGAATCTGTGCCTTTCTGAACATGTTTTGAAAACTGACAGTAAAGGTTCGTAACTCACCTGCTTTTGACATGTGTTTTGTGGTCACTGCTATCCGAGAGAGGAAGGCATTGACCTGTTCCACCTCCTCCCCTAGGGTTAGTCCAGCCCCCTCTTGATATGCCCCACTCCATTTCACCTGTTTAAAATATATTCAAAAGTACGACTCGTTACAACTTGTCACTATTCACAAGGAGGTTTTTACATAAAGTGATTGTGTCACATGGTAACAATTCCTTACTTCACATTTGAAGTCATGCGCTTTGGCATGAAACACTGAGAGAAAGGGCTTCATGTCGAGAAGATGCTGGAGCTCTGGACAGCTTTTTGTGATTCTCTGGAGGTAGGGCCAATATTTGCAGGTCACATCCATGCAAAAGAACATACTACTGGCCAGCTTTTTCTGTAGGTACAGGGGATAAGCAAAGATTTCTCCCCTGTACATATTGAGAGCACAGAGGAGCACTCCATGTCGACAGACGGCAAGCTCTAGTTGTCACGATCTGTCTGTGTTGTGTTTTGTCTTGTCTTTTTCTGTCTCTGGTTCCTGTTTTGTTTTGAAATGTTTTCCTCCTTGTGTCTTCTCTGTTCCTTCTTCCTGTGTTTGCCTTCCTGTCTTAGTTTCCCTGGTGTGTCTGATTGTTTGATTGTGTTCACCTGTTGCCCTTGTGTTTCTGCCTCCCTTACCCCAGCTGTGTCTCGTCTTGTGATTACCCCTCTCTGTATTTAGTCTTGTCTTCCCCTGTGTGCCTTGTCGGTTCATTGTTGGTTTTTCCTGTCTTCCTCCATGTCAGTCATGTTTGTTTCTCCTGTCTCCCACCATGTTGGTCACGGTCAGTTTTCTGTAGAACCTATGTGTTTCATGCCATGCTATTGTTAAGCTTTGAGAATAAAGCTTGTTTTTGTTTCGAGACCGTTTACCTTTTCTGATAGTCTGCATTTGGGTCCTACCCTTCCACGCCATCCTTACAGAATGAACCGACCAATTATGGACCCAGCGGATTATGTTTTTGATTTTGATGCTGAATTGCTTTCTCTGGATTACTCCCTTCGATGTCTTTATACTGTGTGGAGTGGAACCTCGACTAGCAGGGAGAAAGAGGCTGTCCTGAAAAGAGCACAAATGGAGGTGGATAATGTGCCATGGCTGAGGAGCTCGTTGCCTGAATTTCTCAGAGTTTTTTCGCGTAGCCCTGAGTGCCAGTCTCCATTCTCTGATCCTTTTTTGGGATCCCGCCTGGTGTTTGGAGGTCCACGGAGCCTCCAAGAAGCTCATAAGAGGAGTCGCAAGTCCAGGCTAGCAGCCCGAGCCCCAGCAGCCATGGTTCCGGCCCCAGTTCTGGCCCCTGCAGCCATGGTTCCATGCCCAGCAGCCAGGGTGCCTGCTCCAGTACCGGCCCACACAGTCATGGTTCTGTGCACCAGTACCGCCCCACACAGTCATGGTACCGTGCTCCAGTACCATCCCACACAGCCATGGTTCCGTGTTCCGGTTCCGTGCCCAGCAGCCAGGGTGCCTGCTCCAGAACCGGCCCATACAGCCATGGTTCCAGCCCCAGTTCTGGCCCCAGCAGCCATGGTTCTAGCTCCAGAACCGGCCCATACAGCCATGGTTCCAGCCCCAGTTCTGGCCCCAGCAGCCATGGTTCCGGCCTCTGTTCCGGTCCAGCACGCCATTTCCCATCAGGGAAATCTTCTGGGCCAACATGAGCAGACGATGCGAGCCTTAGTTGAAAGCCAGCAGTCCTTGGCTCGTCTCCTGTTGGCTCTACGGCCGACGCCTACCCTATGTCCTGTGCCGTTGGAGGTCCCGCCGACTACTCTCCTGCCGGGGGTCTTGCCAACTCCATGTCCTGTCCCATTGGGGGTCCCGCCGACTACTCTTCTGCCGGGGGTCCTGCCAACCCTATGTCCTGTGCCGTTGGAGGTCCCGCCGACTACTCTTCTGCCGGGGGTCCTGCCAACCCTATGTCCAGTGCCGTTGGAGGTACCACCGACTACTCTCCTGCCGGGGGTCTTGCCAACCCTATGTCCTGTGCCGTTGGAGGTCCCGCCGACTACTCTTCTGCCGGGGGTCCTGCCAACCCTATGTCCAGTGCTGTTGGAGGTCCCGCCGACTACTCTTCTGCCGGGGGTCCTGCCAACCCTATGTCCAGTGCTGTTGGAGGTCCCGCCGACTACTCTCCTGCCGGGGGTCTTGCCAACCCTATGTCCTGTGCCGTTGGAGGTCCCGCCGACTACTCTTCTGCCGGGGGTCCTGCCAACCCTATGTCCAGTGCTGTTGGAGGTCCCGCCGACTACTCTCCTGCCGAGGGTCCTGCCAACTCCACGTCCAGTATCGTTGGAGGTCCTGCCGACACCTGTTCCGCTGTGGGTCCTGCCAACCCCATGTCCTGTCCCGTTGGGGGTCCCGCCGACAACTGCTCCGCCAGGTTTCCTGCCAACACCAGATCCTGTTCTGTTGGGGGTCCCGCCGACACCTGTCCCGCCGGGGGTCCTGCCAACTCTGTGTCCTGTTCCGTTGGGGGTCCAGTCGACACCAGCCCTTGCTACATCCGGGGTCCCATTGACACCAGCCCATGTCTTGTTTGGGGTCCCGTCTGCGCCTGTCCGGTCGGCTCCGGTTCCTGTCCGGCCGATACTGGTTCCTGCTCGTCCTCCGGAGCTGTCCCGTCGGCGCCTTCCTGCCCGGCCTCCGGAGCTGTCCCGTCGGCGCCTTCCTGCCCGGCCTCCGGAGCTGTCCCGTCGGCGTCTTCCTGCCCGTCCTCCGGAGCTGTCCCGTCGGCGCCTTCCTGCCCGTCCTCCGGAGTTGTCCTGTCGGCGCCTTCCTGCCCGTCCTCCGGAGCTGTCCCGTCGGCGCCTTCCTGCCCGGCCTCCGGAGCTGTCCCGTCGGCGCCTTCCTGCCCGGCCTCCGGAGCTGTCCCGTCGGCGCCTTCCTGCCCGTCCTCCGGAGCTGTCCCGTCGGCGCCTTCCTGCCCGTCCTCCGGAGTTGTCCCGTCGGCGCCTTCCTGCCCGTCCTCCGGAGCTGTCTCGTCGCCGCCTGCTGGTTCGCCCTCGAGCCCGGCCCCCTGAGTGCCGCAGTCTTCGCCCTCGAGCCCGGCCTCCTGAGTTCTCCAGCCGCGGTCTTCGCCCTCGGACTCGGCCTCCTGATTCTTCCAGCCGCTGCCTTCGCCCTCGAGCCCGGTCCCCTGAGAGCCGCTGCCTTTGCTCTCATGCCCGGCCCCCTGAGTTCGCCCGCTGTGGCCGTCGCCCCCTTTTTGGACTCTGCCTTGCCCCCGGGCCGTCCGCCCGGGACCCCTTTCGGGCCCGTCCTCCGGACCCCCTCCACCCACCCTTTTGGAAGTATTAGACTATGTTTTTTGGGACGTCTGGGATCCGTCCCTTGAGGGGGGGGTTATGTCACGATCTGTCTGTGTTGTGTTTTGTCTTGTCTTTTTCTGTCTCTGGTTCCTGTTTTGTTTTGAAATGTTTTCCTCCTTGTGTCTTCTCTGTTCCTTCTTCCTGTGTTTGCCTTCCTGTCTTAGTTTCCCTGGTGTGTCTGATTGTTTGATTGTGTTCACCTGTTGCCCTTGTGTTTCTGCCTCCCTTACCCCAGCTGTGTCTCGTCTTGTGATTACCCCTCTCTGTATTTAGTCTTGTCTTCCCCTGTGTGCCTTGTCGGTTCATTGTTGGTTTTTCCTGTCTTCCTCCATGTCAGTCATGTTTGTTT